CCAAACATTCGGTAGAATTTATAGGATATTGTAAAAATATATATATGTATATATATATATATATGTGTGTGTGTGTGTGTGTGTGCTTGCGTGTGTATGCGTTTGTTTGTATGTACGAGTGTGTGTACGTATGTCCAAAATATGTGTGAATATAAATGAAGCGACATTTTTACGCACGTTTGTGCTATGTCGATAAGGAGGTATAATTGATTGTTAGCTAATGCGGAAAGCTCAATTAATCATTGTTACAATTTATGTGTTGCAATTAATAATGATTATTTTTGTGCGTATGTGCGTGCGTGTATGCGTGCGTGTGTGTGTGCGTGTGTGTGCGTGTGTGTGTTTATGCGTGTGTGCGCGTGTATTGCGCGTGTAATGCAAAAAAAATTTTTGCCTATAATTGTTTTTTTTTTTATCATGTTTCAACATTATCCGTATCGATATCAACATCCTCATTATCATCATCATCGTCGTCATAATTATCATCATCCTAACCTCTTCAACGGCATCATCATCAACACCGGCAACTCCGAATTTTGATGACGTAATAGTGACGTCACAGGAGAGTAGCCTGCCATCTTGAACCTCTTTATCTCTCACTATAAAAGTGTCGGTTACGCTTTTAAAACTGGCCGTTGGTGTTGTTGCTAATGTTTTTGTTGTTGTTGAGTTTGATGATTTTGTTGTTGTTGCTAAATTTAGTGCTTTTGTTGATGTTGGCGTTGTTGATGTTGATGTTGTTGTTCTTTTGTCTTTTAGTGGGCAGGATTCGTCTTCTTTATCTGTTTGGTGTGTTGTTGTTGTTGTAATTATCAACTTTTTATCATCATCATCATCATCATCATCATCATCATCATCATCATCATCATCATCATCATCCTCATTGACATTCCCATCATCCTCATCATTTTCATCATCATCATCGTCGTCGTCTCACCTAGGAATGTGTTACTTATATACTCCGATATCTGGCTACCAGATTTGCTCGATTCGGCCAAGTGACTCAACTCTTTCGTTAGCATACGTTTAAACTGAATAAAATAATAACATAATAATAATAATAAATAAATAATAATAATTAATAAATAATAATAATCAATCA